CTAACTGAATTTGCTATTATGCTTTCTGTATCTCAATCATTCAAATCAATACTGACTGCATTATGAAATAATTTATATTTTTGTTTGTCAATAAGAATCATTACATTAAGTACTATGAACATTTTTTTTTGTTTGAAAAAAACTTACCAACAAAAAAAGTAACAAATATATGCCTGTTGCTTAATTAGCGGCGATAATATTCAATTTGCTCATTTTGCTCATTGTTGTTTTCGATTATAATTATCAGGAGTTCTGATGCTTAGACGTTATGCACCGCTTGTGAGAAAAATACGAAGGAAACGACCGTTATTGTGGAAAAATAACTAATGTATTCAAAAAGCGCTTTATTGTGAGATTTTCACTGAACGATTTAACAAAAAAGCAACACGTGTTTCGCTATACGATTGCTTTTTCGAGCGTGTCTTTACTAACTCAGTTACTAACTTAGTTAGTGAAGACATGCCTGAAGAAGCCATTGTATGGCGAAACACTTGTTGCGTTTTTGTAAAACCGGTTAGTGAAAATCTCACAATAAAATGTTTTTTGAATACGTTAGTTATGGATTATGGATTTAATGTTTCTGTCATCCATAGATTTCTGGATTCCGATATTCTAGAGGTAACAACAGGAATATGTCTATCTAATAAATTAATCAAACAGTTAACTAGGTATGATACTTCCTCATCTCTCACAGAGTCCTGGTCAAGTATTCGAAAGAATGAAGTGCCTCGAAGATCCAAATCAAAAATATTTTGATTAAATAATTTGAAATTTCTTCAAGTGTACGTTTCAGGTACATTTTTCAATATACTATTTGACGATTAGATAATTCATTATTATCAAGATTACCGTCTTTACAATTACCATCAACAATGATCAAACAAAGAATATGCGAATACACAATGGACAAAAATGAACAGAATGGGCCAAGTTCAACTCATATAACATAAGAGTTAATGAGTTGTTTTTCCATACAACTCAGACTCCAACTATCAGCCAGGACAAAAGAGGAAAGTAATTATAACTTTGGTTGACGGGGTCCAACGGATCGGTGATCCTCATTTATTCGAACAAATGCCTTCAAAGGGAATAGGTATAGTGAAGCCAAATTCGAACAGATAAAACAACTCCGGAACTCCATATGGGCTTACCAACAGAGAAGCGTTACTACCCTATGTGAAGAATGCTACAGATCGAATTGGAATAATAGTCCAGTCATTATAGTAAGTTCATTATAGTAAGTTCACCTCGGAATTCAAGATACCCAGCTGTAAGTCTGTAAATACTTGTATATTGACACCCTAAAAGTTGTCTCAAACCCTACATATGGTAGGGTGTAAGCAACTATTAAATTTCAAGGTCAAAGGTCACAAAAATCGGTTTTTTG